CGCCGATTATATGCAGCAAAAGATGAAACTGACTTTTCTACTCTCTTTTCTTCTGCAACACTCAATATAAAACTACACAAATCAGCTGCTACTATCAAATCCAATGACTGCAACTGAAATCGAAGAAACACACGCCCACTCCTCAGCGACGCTAAAAAAGATCAATTAAAAGCCAACGTAAAAACTGACACGCACAAGCCAAAATATACAACTATTGGTTAATCACAAAAAACAACATGATCGTCACGATCATACTCGCCTTTACTGGAATAACCTAGTCCAACATTATTCAGACTGGTTCCAATATCTGGATGATCAGTTGGCAAACATTTTTCCCTTATCTTTAAACTTCTCTCATAATATTCCAAAGCACGATTATACTCGCCTTTGTCAACATAAACACCACCAATATTATTCAGACTATCAGCAGTATGTGGATGATCAGCTGGCAAACATTTTTCTCTTATCTTTAAACTTCTCTCATAATATTCCAGAGCTCGATCATACTCGCCTTTATCAGAATAAGCACTACCAATATTATTCAGACTATCAGCAGTATGTGGATGATCAGCTGGCAAACATTTTTGTGTTATCCTCAAACTTCTCTCATAATATTCCAAAGCACGACCATACTCGCCTTTTCTCGAATAAACTAGACCAACATTATTCAGATTACTAGCAATGTCTGGATGATCAGCTGGCAAGCATTTTTGTGTTATCTTTAAACTTCTCTCATAATATTCCAGAGCTCGATCATACTCGCCTTTATCAGAATAAGCACTACCAATATTATTCAGACTATCAGCAGTATGTGGATGATCAGCTGGCAAACATTTTTGTGTTATCCTCAAACTTCTCTCATAATATTCCAGAGCTCGATCATACTCGCCTTTTCTCGAATAAACTAGACCAACATTATTCAGATTACTAGCAATGTCTGGATGATCAGCTGGCAAGCATTTTTGTGTTATCTTTAAACTTCTCTCATGATATTCCAAAGCACGATCATACTCGCCTTTTCTCGAATAACCGAGTCCAATATTATTTAGACTGGCTCCAATATCTGGATGATCAGCTGGCAAACATTTTTCTCTTATTTTTAAACTTCTCTCATAGTATTCCAAAGCACGATCATACTTGCCTTCGTCAACATAAACACCACCAATATTATTCAGACTACTAGGCATATGGGGATGATCAGCTGGCAAACATTTTTCTGTTATCTTTAAACTTCTCTTATAATATTCCAAAGCACGATCATACTCGCCTTTTCTCGAATAACCGAGTCCAATATTATTTAGACTGGCTCCAATATCTGGATGATCAGCTGGCAAACATTTTTCTCTTATCATTAGACTTCTCTCATAATATTCCAAAGCACGATCATTTTCACATTTATGAGCATAGACATTGGCAATATTATTAAGTACACTGACTGACTCTTTGACGCGTGGTGGCCTTGTGCTCATCATGATCTCGTATGCGCACTCGTATAGTTCCAGTGCTTTAGCATATTCAGCTTTACCCTCATGAGTGCGACCAAGACTAACCTGAATGTGTGCAAGATCCTCTACTCCTGGATTTCGCAGCAGAGTCTCAAAGTACGTCTGTGATTTGTCATATTGTCCCATGTCACAGAGAAGTGTATCAAACATCACCGCAAGGCTGCTCTCTTTCAACTCTTTTCTATTCAATGCGATATACGCTTGGGCAGTTTCTCTTCCTATACCGGTCGCTACCATTTCTACAACAGAAACATTCGACTCTCTTCGATGAACAGAATGTATCTCGAACGTCGCACCTAAATCAAAGAGAACTTCCTCTTCATCAGCGAAATTGCTGAAGTGGGCAATGTCAGCCACCGTAATAGCATCATGTAGCTCACTTAAATCACACTCGATCTCAAACAAAACGCCAACCTCATCTCGATGTTTTGCTGATTCACCCGCAAAATGCAAAGCTACTTCACGAGAACGACTGGTTGAGAGAAAGCCATTGGTCGAAATCAGTTTGCCTTCATTCTCTTTCAGCTTCTCAAATTCCTCACTCGATAAATTAACGCCACGATAGACTCGGAGTACATTCTTTTCTCGCTGTTTCAGTTTTTCATATTCTTGTGCAAGACAAGAACAAAGATCAACGATGAAGAATCGAAACAGGTACAGCTGTTCGATATCTTCTGTTCGAAGAGCTTTGTTGATGAGTTTATAAACAAAGGACTGTTTTGTATACCATCGAATGGCATCATCTCGTTGCTAGGTCTCATCAAAGTCTTGAATAAGTTTCAGTTCTTTCCTGTTACCTCTATAGTATTCTTGACACTTTTGAATCATCTGTTGTTTGCCATGATGATCAGGTGGCATTTGCATGATGAGATCTTTGAACAGCTGGAACCAGAGAAAGGACCCTGATTCTTTGGATAAATCACGAGTCGACTTCTGATGAGTATAGAAGCTAAATGATTCCATTCGTTTCTCAACCGTCTTGGCAGTCTGTTTGATCGAGTCGATGAGTTCTTCGTGTGAATGAAAGAGTCCGATTACTTTTGAGTATTGGCCTTGTAGATGTTTGTATCTATCTCGATTCATGCAAAAGATGAAAATGGATTCGATTTGAGATAGAGTCTCAATATTAGGAAGAAGATGGACGGCACATATGTCTGGTGTCACAACAAACACTTTTTCATTCTGAATATGTCTGACATGGTCAATACATGAGTCCAACTCTGTGTGCAAAATGACAAAATCATTGACTTCTCTTAGCATTTTCATTGTTTGCTTTGCATCGTCATTTGAATCGATGCTGGTATCAAACCAGATGAGCGTCACACTCTCTTTGTTTTCATCATGCAGCGTTCTCTGAGCAGGAAAAGTTGGTGGTGGTACTGAATGAAGCAAAACGGTAATTGTCGAAGATGTTTGTTGTGTATTTTCATTGCTTTTTGAGTGAGTAGGAGTTGGTGTTTGAGAAGTGTGTGATGTTAGCACTGTTGACTTTACGGATTGTATCATGTTGGTTGAAGAAGTTTTGATGGTAATGCAGGGTGGTGACGGAATGTTTGGTTTTGTCTAAGAGTGCTTCTATTTATGCACTGTGTGTATTTCAGTTATGACAGAAGTGCTGAACGAGTTGAAAAGTGACATGAAAGTGATAATCTCTGTTTACTTACTATGTCGCGCACTTTCGTTAATCTTTGCTCATCTTGCTTTTGATTCAGGAATTGAAATCAGGTCCCAGCTAGAAGTGAATATTCGTTGTTCGAGAACGTATCGTTGTTTCGACTTTTGCCTAACTGCTGTAACTTGTGAGTAAGTGCTATATGAGCGAGCAAGTATTTTAGAAAAGAATATTGTCACAAGATGAGATATTACATAGTAGAAGGGAAAGTGCTTCACATTTTGTTCTTATCTCATAAACAAGTTGTAAAAGAGTAAGAAGTTTGTATGTTGTTTTCTTTACTTTAATTGTTGTCACCAGATATTATTCGAATTTATTATGCGTTTTAAGAAAGACAGAAAAAAAAGAAAGACTCTTATCTTTTAAACAGTACAAGGCTCTGATAAGGAACAAAAAGAATATAGCAGTATGATTCTTTGCATCTCATAAATTGACAGAGATTTATTAACTGAGCGCATCGTGTCTATGTTCTTTCTTTTGTGTTCATGTCCATGTGTTGACGACATTGATGTATTTTGAATAAGGAATATGTTTCTTATTAAATACAATTGAAAATATGTTAAGTGAAGGCATCTACAAACTTTTGCGAGCTTTCGATACATTATCTAGGAAAAGAGTCACGGAAATTCATCTCCACTCTCAAACGACTATTAGAGAAAGGACGGGAAACGATAGGACCGCAAATCGGCCCCCTTTCAAATCAGTCTTAAGTTACCTCATCAGATGCACTTTTCGTCCACGATTAACCCCAACATATTCTTTCGCCTAGAGCAAACACAACCTACTCTACACCGTCCGATAGATAACTTCACGGGCTACGGAATGATATATAAGAGAGTCTTAAGAAGATGGAACTGGGTAGTCTAAGATCCGAAATACTCGGTAGCATCTTAGCAAACCGGTAGGTCACTCTCATTCATGTTTATAATATCCATTGATTTTCTCGTTAACAACTCTACTTTACGTATCATTCGAAAGAGAATTCTATAGGCTAAAAAATGATATACAGGACAGTCTGAAGAAAGTGTAACTGGGTAGTCTAAGGTTCGAAATACTCACTACTAACTCAGCAAATCGGTAGATCAATGTCGCTCATGTTTGTACCATCCATTTAAGCTGTTCACGACCATCGTATTTCGTATATCACTCGATAGAGAACTTCACGGGATTCGAAACGACCTATTAATAAGTCTTTCAAAAATATGCCCACGTGGGTCAAAAGTCGAAATACTTCGTCGATATAATCATTTTCATCTATCTTAGGGCTTTACACAGTAAAAGATGACATATTGTTCAAAAACATACCATTGGATAGCCCTTGAAATTCTCTACAAAGTGAGCCTGTCAGAATATACAGAGTGGTGAAACCAGTCATTAAAGATACATTGTCGCAAAATCGACTTTTTATACGCTGAACAAAACCGGTCCAAATTTGTTTTTGACTACATTCAACAAAACAACTGCTAAACTGGGAGATGGTTCTTCAAACATAAAAATGTTGGGTGAAGGATAACTAACCGTAAAAATAAATCGTATATTCACCACACAGTGGGCATTTTTTGCTAGAGCAAGCGGACTTTAGCTTTATGAGTGAACTAAAATTTCATGAACCATCTTTTTATAGGTTTTTCATGATCCTCTTTCTAATGGCATGAGAGTTGGGTTTTAAA